ACTTCCCATGTGTGCTGGGGCAACTCACTTAGTTACCCTGTGTCCCATCTGTAAAAAGGGGATGCTGCTTCTCTATTGCTCAGGGGTGTGGTGAGACTAAAACCCATTAGTGGGTGTGAGGGATAAAGACGTAGCTAGAGAGAGCCCTTTGAAATGTTGCAGGTGATTTATTCTCTCCATTCCCAAGGGTGGTCATTCAGATGAAGGGGGAGAAACTGGACCCAATATTGACCTCTAAGAAAGAATCCTTTAAAAGCATCTTGGAGGGTTATCAGCCCTACCGTCGCGTGCCAGTAGGTGTCATCAGAGTCGAGGAATTTCCTAGTGATTTCCAGCCCACTCTTAGGGAAAGCCCATATGTTGCGTGTGACTGGACACTCCTCCCCTGAAACAATGGAGCTTGAAAATCCAGCGTTTCTGTTGCTGACTGTAACCATTCAGTTTTTACTGTGTGTGCTCACCCTATTCCTGACAGCGTTTTTCTTTGCCTTCATGCCTTGCTAGGTTTATGTGCACTTTCTATCAACCATTCCAACTCCTACTTGGCGTACCCTGGCAGCGCGACTATTGGGGAGATTGTGTTTTACGACGGAAATAATTTGGTAGGTGTGAAGTGACTAGAGGGTTTCAGGGCATAGACATGTGGATACTGCCATGGACAGAAAATAATCTGTGTTGATAAACAAAGACCGCTACAGAAATGCCCAGCTGAGCCCTTTTAATAAAAGAGAGAGAGTGAGAGAAAAGAAAGTCCACATAACCATACTGCACAGAAATCGACCACTAAGCTTTGGGGTCTTCTCCACGCCTGCTCATCCGGACACGGCACGTAGTTAAACGAATTATCTGACACGTGCCCAGAGCAAAAGTACTGAATTTAAGATCTGTATATTCATGGACTAGTGCCTTGGTAAGGAGAGCAACCTTCATGAACCTCCTGAATGTAGTGACCCGGGAGAAATGTGTCATCATGAAAGGAGCTAGAGGGCAGATAGAGAAGAGCCAGTGAGCAACTTAAGCTGCTCGGTGAGTGGCGTATAGTGAGAATTATTAGCAAGTCCCCGGTCCTCCCTTGCCAGGGTTTCCTTGGGGTAAAATCCCAGGAATCGGTATTGTCTTGTAATATTAAAAGTTCTGCAGAGAATGAACTGTCCCCAGAGTTCAGGGCTGCTTTTGCTCAGGCAGGTGCCAAGCATCAAAGGAGAAGGGTAGGAGGGCAATCACTACATTGTGGCCTGATTTTGAGATGTGCTAAGCACCCATAACTGCCAGAGGAATTGTAAGTGTTGGCACTACTTGGAATCCGGCCCAAACTTGCTTTTGTAACATGGTGGCTGTGGTAGGAGGAGAACTGGGGGTGAGGTGGAAGGAAGCATGAGATACCTCCTGGATTTAGCACTAAGCTCAAAAGGCACTTAAGGGACCTCTACGAATCAAGTGTAATTGGGTAGGGAATGTGCCGCCAGATAGCAGGCGGGAGCTTCGCACTTTGGTTTACACTCCTGTTACCTTTTTACCAACAGAGAACAGTCTGCACAATTCCTGCCCACGATGGGCCCCTCGCTGCAATAACCTTCAACTCCACAGGGTCGAAGTTAGCAAGCGCTTCAGAAAAAGTGAGTGAAAAGCCCGCTGTGAACACTCTCCTTAATGCTTGCGGGTTTGCAGGTTTGCGGAAGATCCGCAGAGCAATCCAGTATTTGGATTAGATTGTTTGTTCTATGGGAAGTGGTATCTGTCTCTGTTTCGTGACAGTGAAGCTCTAGTATTGATTGAGGGGAGGAAGGGAGCTGGGGGAGAAGAAATGAAAGAAACGCAGTTGTGAGGAAGAGATTTGATTTTTGCTTTGCACCGATCCTTGGGTGGGAAGGTGGAAATGGCGTTTGCATGTTCTGAACTCCCCAGAGAAAGCATTGAGGAAGGGGCATGTTTCTGTTCGCCCTGCTTTCTGCATGACCTTTATCCTGCATTTTTACAGGGCACTGTCATTCGTGTATTTTCCGTACCTGATGGGCAAAAACTCTACGAATTCAGAAGAGGAATGAAGAGGTCGGTTCACTCCTTAAAATTGTTGACAAGTATGCAAAGGGATCAAGTAACAGCACGTTAAATACATTCTCACTGCAGACATTCTTGACCATGTAGGACCTTGGCTGCTTCGGCATATGTTACTGTCCTTCTATAGGAACGTGATAGTGCTGTGTAGCTCCCACATTTTGCCTCTGGCGAGCTGAGTGACACAGTTCAATTGCTTGCAGAACTGGGTGATTCCAGAGAATTGGAGGCAAATTGGACACATTGACTCTCACCTTTCCTTTCAAGTGGAGATTATACAAAGAAAATTGGATTTCCACTCTAAGGCTAAGGTCTACACTGGGGGGGGGGGTCGATTTAAGATCACACAAATTCAGCTACGCAAATAGCATAGCTGAATTCGACATATCCTATTCGACTTACCTCGCTGTGAGGACGGCGGCAAATCAACCGCCGCGGCTCCCCCGTCGACGGTGCTTACTCCTACCTGCGCTGGTGGAGTACGCGCGTCGATTCGGGGATCGATTTATCCATCTAGATGAGACACGATAAATTGATCCCCGAGAGATCGATTTCTACCCACCAATCCGGGCGGGTAGTGTAGACTAGCCCTGAGAAATGAAGTTACAATAGTTATACCATTCTACAGAGATCTGATTCTCACTTTGCCTGGGCTAAGTGGGTGCTAAAAAGCTACCCGTTCTGATTTGGTTGGATTTTATGCCCACATTGTCTAGAGGTAAATGACAGTGCCCTGGTCTAGGCTACAGGTAGGTCAAGATAAGGCAGCTTACATCGACCTAACTCTGTAAGCGTCCACACTAAAATGTAGCTCCCGCTGGTGTAACTCGCTCACTCCACTAAGGGTACATCTACACTACAGCGGGGAGTCGATTTAAGATACGCAAATTCAGCTACGTGAATAGCGTAGCTGAATTCGACGTATCGCAGCCGACTTACCCCGTTGTGAGGACAGCGGCAAAATCGACTTTTG